GGCTCCATCGACAGAGACATTTAGTCTAGACACACCCATATTGCCAAGAGAGATGGATAAAGGGGATCCAGTGGATATAGTATACTGGGACTTTCAGGAAAGGTTCTTAAGCAAACCAAGTAGTATGGGACAAGAAGGAAGTCCCTCTTATGGATTAATAACTGGTTAAAAAATAGAAATAAATGATCAGTTTTCAGAATGGCAACTAGAAGGATCTGTTCTATTCAACATAGTCATAAATGATCTAGAAAAGGGGGTGAATAATGAAGTGGCGAAATTTTGGACAATATAAAGTTAAGTCCAAAGTTGACAGTGAAGAACTACAAAGGAATCTCACTAAACTGGGCAGCTGGGTGATAAAATGATAAATGAAATTCAGTGTTGATAAATGAAAAGGGCAACTAAAATGATTAGGGGTTTGGAACGGGTCCCATATGAAGAGAGGTTAAAGTGACTGGGACTTTTCAGTTTAGAAAAGAGGAAACAGGGGGGGGAGATGATAGAGGTTTATAAAAGCATGAGTGGTGTGGAGAAGGCCGATAAAGAAAAGTTATTTATTAGTTCCCATACTAGAAGAACTAGAGAACACCAAATGAAATTAATGGGTAGCAGGTTTAAAACCAATAAAAGAAAGTTCTTCTTCACACAGCGTGTAGTCAATCTGTGGAACTCCTTGCCAGAGGAGGTGGTGAAGGCTAGGACTATAACAGAGTTTAAAGAGAAGCTAGATAATTTCATGGAGGTTAGGTCCATAAAAGGCTATTAGGCAGGGGATAGAAATGGTGTCCCTGGCCTCTGTTTGTCAGAGGCTGGAGAGGGATGGCAGGAGACAAATTGCTTGATCATTGTCTTCAGTCCACCCTCTCAACTGTACGTATTTAATTAGGGGGTCTAAATTAACTGTTACGAGTCAAGAAAGAGACCTTGGAATCCTGTGGTTAGTGCTCTGAAAACATCTGCTCAACATGCAGTGTCAGTCAAAACAGCTAACAACGTTAGGAACCCATTGAGAAAGGGATGGATAATAAAACAGAGGGTACCATAATGGCACTGTATAAAGCTGTGGCACACCCTCATCTTGAATACTGCATGCAGTGCTAGTTGCCCATCTCACAAACTACATACTAGAATTGGAAAAGATGCAGATAAGAGCAATGAACATGATAAGGGGGATGGAACAGCTTTCATATGAGGAGAGATTTAAAAGTCTGGGAGGGTACAGCTACACTACGCACACTTATTTTGCTATAAGCTATTTTGAAATAGTTATTCCGAAATAGCTTATTTTGAAATAGCACATTTACACTGTGGAGAAGCCTCAGAAGTAATCTGAGGCAGGCTTCCCTAATGTAGACGTGTGATCTCGAATTAGCGCCCCAGGAGGAATAACTTAGAATGGTGCTGGTGAGGGGTTATTTTGAAATAGCAGCAGTGTAGCATCTTCACACGCCTTATTTCGAAATAGCTATTTTGGAATAGGCATTATTCCTTGTAGAATGGGGTTTACAGATTTCAGAATAAGCCATCTGTTATTTCAAAATTATTTTGAAATAACAGAATGTCTGTGTAGATGCTCGCATTATTTCGAAATAACATTAGTTTAGTTTACAAGAGATAACTGAAGGTGGATTTGTCTCAGAAGGATCACAGTGTTAGTCTGTAACTGTAAAAACAATGAGAAGTCCTGTTGCATCTTAGGGCTTGTCTATACTTCCCGGAGGATCGATGCTCCTGTGATCGATTTTTATGGGATTTGATTTAGCGGGTCTAGTAAAGACCCACTAAATCAAATGCTGAGGGCACCCCCATCAACTGTGGTACTCCTGGTAGTCACAAGGAGTACGAGAAGTTGACTGGAGAGCTTCTCCCATTGACCTCCCGCTGTGGGGCACCCCAGAAAATCAATGTAAGTTATGTCGATTCTAGCTACACAATTGTCGTAGCTAGAATTGCATATTTTACATCAATTCTCTCTGTCAGTGTAGACCTGGCCTTAGAAACTAACAGATGTGTTAGGTCATGACCTAATAAATCTGTTAATCTTTAACATATAACAGGACCCCTTGTTTTAAAGGTGGATATGATAGAGGTCTATAAAATCATGAAAGGGAGTGAAGAAAGCAAATAGGGAAGTGTTATTTATCTCTTCATCTAATTAAAAAAAACCCTATGAATCACAGTAGGTTTAAATCAAACTTAAGGAAATATTTCTTAATGAAATGCACAGTCAACCCGTGAAACATTTTTTAGGGGATACATGAAGGTCAAATATATAATGGCTCAAAAAGAAGTTCATGAAGGATAGATCCATCAATGGCTATTAGTCGAGATGATCAGAAATGTATCCCCATGTTCTTGGTGTCCCTAAACCTCTGATTTCCAGAAACTAGGACTGGACAGTAGGGGATGGATCACTTGAAATTCCCCCGTTCTGTTCATTCCCTCTGGAGCATTTGGCACCGACAGAGGCAGGACACGGTGCTAGAAGGACTATTGGGCCGATCCGGTCTGGCTGGTCTTACATCAGACAGTTATTTTTGAAGCTATCAAGCGTACTAAAGGGTTTATGCCTAGTGAAAACTAAACTACTAGTAACAAAATGAATGGAGTCCATTGCATGCGGAACATCTTTGGTTGTTTCCCCTCTCTGTTCACTGACTTTCTCATTGGCAAAATTCAGCCATTTGCAGTAAGCACCTGTGCCAAGAGGGTGAATTATGAGCTTTGAGTGTGTGCTGATTAGCTTAATATAAAGAGCTACACTAAATGATCGACTTAAACTACACTAGTTAAATAAATTAACAAGGATCCACTCCGTAATGCATGCCTCCTGTGAATTAGATTAGGGTTTGTTTTTTGTTCTCTTGGAATCTGATCCAAATCTCATTGGAGTCAATGAAAAGAATTCCTCTCATTCATTACTAATCAACGGTAGTGCGAGCAGACCATTCCATGCTTCCGTCATCGTGTGTGTCTATTATGGTTAAAGGACAATATGTTTTTCCAGCTGAGGTGACATGTATTTCCGATTAAGGACAACAACAAAGGAAGAACAACAGTGGCACGCATCTTACTCTCTTGAATCGCCCTGCCACTAGCAGGTAGACTTCTTACCTGTAAAGATACACACCAGAGCAAACAACAATAGCAAATTACCACAGAGTGTCTTAGGGATCAGGGTCATTTAGGCTATGTCTACACTACAGAGTTTTTTTCGGAAAAACGAATGTTTTTCCGATAAATCTTCACTTAAGTCCACACTGCAATCACGTTCTTTTGAAAAAAAAATCAAAAACAGAGGGTTTTCTGACATTGGTAAACCTCTTTCTACAAGGAAGAAGCCTTTTTCCAAAAGAGCTCTTTCAGATAAAGGTGTGTGTGGATGGGGAAGAGGGAGTTCTTTCAAAAGAAGAGGAAAGAGGAAAAAGCACAGATGCCCTGGTGGCCACTCCACTCATAGCAATCACAGCTGAAATGCGAGACAGCGTCCATTCAATGTGGACGCTATCTTTTATTAAAGTAGATCGCTTTTTTGATGATCTTTGGCAGTGTGGACGCTCTCTTTCGGAAGAAGTTTTTTTTGGAAGATCTCTTCCGAAAAAGCTTCTTTCGAAAGAAGCCTGCAGTCTAGACATCCCCTGAGAGATCTTGCAATCTTAGGCGAGAACAAAGTATTTTCATTCGTCCCCTTTTGAACTGGGAAGGAATGCACAAAATCTTCCTCGGGCCGGTAATGATTTTAATGCCTTGGTTTAACAGTGGTTAAAATACCGACTAGACCACGGAACAACACTTTTAAGACCTCTATCTGTAGTCCCAGATTTAAGGCCACCATTTGTAAAAACTCTCCATGCATGTGATAGCCATCTGGGGGAGATCTCTTCCAGAAAAGCTTCTTCCAAAAGAAGCCTGCAGTCTAGACATAGCCTTAGGTAGGTCCTCTTGATACTTAGTACGAAGTAAGTGCTAGATGTAGATTTGAACCCGGGGCCAGGCCGGAGCACCATGGCTTCACACTGTACATCATCCCAAGAAATTGCCTTTTTAAATTTCAATTAGAAAGAACATTAGGTCAATCAGATAAAGCCACATTGTGAGAATTTCCTCCTTTATGGCACTTGCCTCTTCAATTATCTATAATGAACTTCCTCACACAGCCGCAAACCTTTTTATATGCAAACGAGTCCTTTATTGGCGCGACCGCCACCGCCGCTTGTTAATGAACTTGAAACAAGTGTTATCAGAGAGGTTACGGTACTTGTAGAGAGGTCGGGGTGGGACAGGGATAAAGGGAGACTGGAAAATCCGGTTTGGGGGGCTCGGAGTGTCTCCCAGGTAGTTCCGTTTAAAATCTTCCCCTCTCAGCTTCCCACCTGGTTCTTGGGCCTTTAAATTTGCTGTTTGTCAAGGGAATTCCCCACTCCGGTGGCAGACTCGCTGTGTAATTGTGGAGAAGACATCTCTGGGGTGGGTTTCTGTGTGGTGTGGGATTGGGGGGCAATTCTGGACCATGTTCTATGTGTAGCTTAGCCACTGTACCCCAAAGGAACTCAGCCAAGGCGGGAGACTTGGGGAAGACAGGTTCTGCCAGGGTCTAGCAACTTCAGAACTGGGCTGTGGCTCAGCAGGAGGTCCCCCGGTGGTCCGGTCCAGTCTCTCGGTGGTGCTGGCCATATTTGTGGTCTCTGGCAGAAGGGGAACTGGGAGCCAGGCCTCACTTCATCTCTCGGTAGTCGCTTTTTGGGCCTGGGGGAGTCTTAGTAACATCCTGCAGATCTAGACGCATACAGGTGGCCAGATCAATGGACTGTCTGGTCCAGTGCCCCCACTCAGATGATGGCCAATTGTGGGAGCTTCGGGGAAGGGTGAATCCCCCCACCTGACCACATCTAATGTGGCCCATGTGGTAGGTGGGCCTGGGATTTCCTTCTGACCCCTGCCAAGAATCTGCTTGCACTTCGCACTGTGATAACTGATGCCCCTTGTCGTTCGGTTCCTAGCTCGTGTAAGTGCAGTCGTTACAGGTCGACTCCATTGCTCTGTCTTCCTTAAATCATTGTCTCTGTAAAATACTCCAGGCACAAGCTGTAACAAGTTCCCAAGCTGTGAATCCCACCCTCCCGCCTTCCCCACTCCTACATCAGAATCTGCTTGCACTTCGCACTGTGATAACTGATGCCCCTTGTCGTTCGGTTCCTAGCTCGTGTAAGTGCAGTCGTTACAGGTCGACTCCATTGCTCTGTCTTCCTTAAATCATTGTCTCTGTAAAATACTCCAGGCACAAGCTGTAACAAGTTCCCAAGCTGTGAATCCCACCCTCCCGCCTTCCCCACTCCTACATCAGCCTTTTCCTCTATGGGTTGGACCTCCCTGGTCCCACACCTTTGGGATCGGACCGGTCCCGGATGAGGGATTTTGCCAGAGCAGAGGTCTGTTCTGGCTCCCTTACCACCAGCCCTGGCCCAGCCACCGGCTCTCACCCTCCACCATCACAGGCCCTCCTGCCCTGGCTCTGTCAGGCTTCCCACCCCTACCGGGCAGCCTCGCTGTAGCCTGCTAGCCTCCCTGCTCCACTGGGCAGCCCCATGGCCATGCGCCGCTCTCCCGGCCCTACAGGCAGCTCATGGCCAGCATTCTGCTGTCTTACTGACCCGCAGGGCTCCCATCCCCAAGACTCTCTGGTCCTGGAACGTCCGTGGCCTGGCAGCAAGTTCCGGTTTAGAGAGGTTCAACCTGTATAGATGATAACCAGCTGCAGGGTGTTCTCTGGTGCTTTTTGTGTGAATAAGCGAGAGAAAAGGACCCGGATTGCCCTGTGTGCCTGACGTGGCACTCTGCCATATGGCGCCTGACCCTGGCAGAGGGCAGGCGGCATGACGGAGGGGGTGCCATGCAGGGAGGGATCCTCAGGCCTCCTCTGCATGTGGAAGTTCTTAACTGAAAGTGTGCGGCGAAACAGGGACACACCCTCGGCCTACGTGTCAAGCCCGGCTTCCTTTGGTTTGGCTTGTTTAAACTCCAGCAAAGTGCCCACACGCAGTCGCGCCGGGTGGCTCGCTCCATTTAACGGCACCCTCGTAATTCCCTCGCTGCTCCTCGCGTGTGCTCAGGGTCTCGTTCTCACGGAGCCCCTTGGATCCAGCCCTTTCCCAGTGTGCCCGAAAGATCAGTGGCCTACGTGTCAAGCCCGGCTTCCTTTGGTTTGGCTTGTTTAAACTCCAGCAAAGTGCCCACACGCAGTCGCGCCGGGTGGCTCGCTCCATTTAACGGCACCCTCGTAATTCCCTCGCTGCTCCTCGCGTGTGCTCAGGGTCTCGTTCTCACGGAGCCCCTTGGATCCAGCCCTTTCCCAGTGTGCCCGAAAGATCAGTCCGCCTTTGACTCCTTCCCCCGCAGAAAGGCGCGGACGGCTCTATGTGACTAGCTCAGGACAGAGCCTCAAGAGAGGCCTGAGCCATCCGATTCTCATTTCCGAGTATTTGGATCCAGGGTTTCATCCATTGTAAACAGCCCCTCCCCTTTTGGTAGGTCCCTGATCTCAACACCGCCAGACTTCAAGGCTCTTACATTGGGTGGCTTGCTCCCACCTTTGGCTGGAACCGGCTGTTCCAAGACCGTTTTACCGAGTGTTTGTTGGCTGGAAGGGGAGAGGGGCTGTGTTGGTGCCTACACCCAGCCTCCTTGTCTGTCAGCACGTGGGTGGTGAAGCAGTGCTTGGTCCCTATAGAGAGGGACATTCCAGAGAAGCTTCCTGCCAGCGGATGAGGGAACAGGCACCAAGGGATTCCATAGGGTGCCTCTTCCAGTCCTCACAGGCCACACCTGCAGTGTGGGGTGGGTCTTCTGCCAAGGAGAGCTCTAGCTAGAGCAGAGGACACAATCCGGGGCCCGGCGCACTGACTAACCGGCCTGATGTGTTTTCTCCTCTTCCCCCGCAGGACTGTCCTCAGTTGCTCCAAGCAGACAAGATCCTGGTGCCGGTGGAGGTGATCAAGCCGATCACCCTGAAAGCCAAGAACCTGCCACAGCCGCAGTCGGGGCAGCGGGGCTACGAGTGTATCCTGAACATCCAGGGCAACGAGCAGCGGGTCCCCGCCCTGAGGTTTAACAGCTCCAGCGTGCAGTGCCAGAACACCTCGGTGAGGGGCCCGTGGCCGGGGGGACGGGCTGAGGGGAGCGAGCCTCACAGGACGGGCCGGAGGGGAATCCTGAGGGACGGTGACAAATTCTTGGTTTCCGTCTCGAGTTTATTGCAGGGAAGAAGCTTTCCCCAGTCAGCCCCACGCGTAGCTCTGCAGATGGGCCCCTCGCCAACCCGTCAGCCAATACTCCCCCCACCACACTGTGTCAGGAGCGGGAGCCAGGCTCCCCCGCTCCCTGGAGCTCGCAGGTTACTCTGCTGCCCATGACATGAGGGAAGTGCTGGCTAATCCCTGAGACGAGGCTGCTCCTGTTGCGGTTGGACCTGGAACCGCAGCTCCCTGCTAGTCTAGCAGCTCAGGCCAGCCATTAGGGCCTTAGCCTCAGACTTAATAACTTGGGGTCAGTCCTCTGCTCCGCCACAGGCCTCCTGTGTGACCCAGGGCAAGTCACTTAGGCTCAGATTCCTAGCGCCCCTGACTGAAGACCACCCTCTCTGTTTCATTTCTCCGTCGGTTAAAGGAGGCTAATAGCACTTCCCTGCCTAATTCAGCACAGCTTGCAGAGAACAATGATCTCAAGGAGTATTACAGGCTTTAGCTAATTAGCCCTCACTTCCCCTTACTGCCGAGGGCAGGATCATCACCTCCAGATTGAAACAAGGGAAACTGAGGCACTCACCATTGATAGGCCTTGCTCAATGTCACTGAGCAGGAGACTTGAACGCGGTCCTAACTCCTAGTTCACCACCGTCCACTAGTCATAAGTATCCTGACCTGGTAAGTTTGCCCTGCAGGGGAGTCCAAATTGATGAAGCATTTGTTCAACGTGGAATCCAAATCAGCAACTTCCAAGGGAGCGTATTTCACATAGTAACAGAAAGAATCAAAATAACACAGTCAGCGCTGCCATGATGGGGCCACATGAGCAGAGTTCTCTCTCATCTTTTTCATCCACGTGTGGCTTTTTTCCATGCGTGTGTGGAATAAAATGTACTATGTGCACCAAGGCATGTGTGACTATGCACCACCAGTAGAAACCCAGCCGAGCTGCGGGCGCTCTGCTAATCAGCAGGGCAGCCTTTGCCTCTCTCCTGAGTTGCCGCACAAATGCACTGCAATCAGAGAACACTGCTGAGCACCCAGATAGATGGACAGACAGAGAACAGGGTGTATTGAAGGGGTGGGGAATGGTTAAAAACACTTCACCCCGCCAGTGACTAACTGGGTGGCTTTGGGCAAGTCACTTTGCTTCTGTGCGCTAAATTTCCTCCCTGTGGGAACCAGGATTACTAACCCTGCCCTGCCTCCCTGGTAGATGTCAGGTTCATGGGAGTAATACCCCTATCTTAAGGGGCAAAAGTGGTTTCTTACTAGGGCTGGTTTTCCAATAGCGTGTGTGTGTGGCCTAGTTCCAAGTGTCAGCCACTCCACTCCAGCGCTCAGACGCAGGCAGAGGTGTGGGGCGACCTCACGCTACGTATGCTGTTGCATTAAACAGCATGTGGAAAGTTACGGGCCGTTAGCCGCATTTTATGATCAGTTACAAATGAGTATTTCCACATCAAAGTCCCTGTTTGTCCCCCCGATGCGGGGGACCCCTGTTGTTCTGGCTGCCGCAGAAATCTGTGGCTTGAAAAATGGAAGAGCCCTTCCATTTCCCTTTACAGGCAGGAAAGCCGGAAGGTCAGAGGGGTATAATAGGGACCTGCTAAGGGCTTTATAGCTAGCCATACAGCCATGGCTGGGGGGAGAAAGCAGCCAGCCAGTGTAGGGCGAGAATTCCCCCGGACACCTAGAGGTGGCTAATGGATTGTTCAGCTTCAGTCTGGGTATGGAGACAGCGACTGCAGGGCTGGGCGAGGTCCTGGATAGTAAGGTCAGAAACCTCAGGGATGTAAAATGTCTCCATTTTAGAAGCCCAGGTGGAGATGCTTGACATGGGTACGGGGGGCAGCGAGGCAAGCTTCCCCCACCTATCCCCGTCAGTGTGTCTACAGTGACCCCCTCCAGGGAAAATGAATTCCATCTCTGGCCTGTTCCTTGCTGGGACGGCCACGAGCATCCCACTGGGTGGTCCTAGGGCTGGGTTCCTTCCATAGCCACCTGAGCGCCACAGGGCAGGGAGTGGATCCGCCAGTCCCGGTGTTACGGCCTCTCCACTCCAGCCAATCTCCACATGGGAGAAGAGGAGGTGGTTTTACTCCACTCTTGTGCCTCCCCGATTCTAATTCCTTCTGGGAACCGGGATAGTCCCAGGCACAGGCTAGAGCAGCCCCCGGGGACTGGCCCAACCTGCAGCCTGCCACAACAGCCCCTCTACAGCAGGGGTGGGCAAAAGGGCCTCTACGGGCCGAATCCAGCCCACCCAGCGGGTTCATCTGGCCCGTGGAGGCCCTGCCACTCCCCTGCCCCCAGGCCTATCAGCGCACGAAGTTTCCTCTGCCCTGCAAGGTGCGGGGGGTGCTTAGAAGTGACACGCGCTGCTGGCAGGCTGGGAGGAGACTTTGCGTGCTTCTCTTCACCCCCAGGTCCTGATTGGTCTGGGGGCAGAAGCCAGGGGCCTGGGCACCTAGGGAATCATGGTCTGTGGGTGGGGATTCCCTAGGTGCCCCCTCCCGCCTGCTGGAGGCCCCACCCCTTTCGGTGCAGCCACTTCAAAAATTTCTAAAGTGGCCCCTGGTAAAAAATTATTGCCCACCCCTGTTCTACAGGCTGGGACAGCCACGCCCCTTCTTTCGCCACGAAGCCCCGTCTTTCCCCAGCCCCACTAGCATCCAGCACAACAAAAGAAACACGAGGCCCGATTTCTGATCTCCGTCCTGCTGCTGTAAATGGGAAGTGATGCTCTGGAAGTCATGGGGGCTGCTTATGTTCTGAGCTCAGAATTGCGCCCTTACTTTACGGACCTTGTGGGGTTCCTCTGAATTACGCTGGGGTGGCTGGGGTCAGAATCAGGCCCTCTCCTCTCCTATGTGTTTGAGAGCATCTGTCTGTCTGTTCAAGGATTCCTCCTAAAGATTAAGAGCTAGGACCACCAAATTCCCCAGATCGCTTCCTCTGATCATAACGTAAAAGCAAGGTCGGGTTTGGTTGGACTGGGACGGTGGGGCGTGCCTGGAATGGGATTGCTTCCCAGAAAACCACACTGGCAGGAGACAGAATCGCCAGGCAAGTGAAAGGAAGCCTCCACATCCAATTCAGGGATGTTGCTGCTTGTTCCCCTTTGTCAGCAAGCAAGGGGAAAGTGCACAGTTTGCTGCATTCCTCACTCTGGCTGGAGGGGCACAGGGGGCAGATGAACCTGGATCTGCCCCAGCCAGGAGACACGCACCCTCCCCAGCTATTCCCGCTGGAGCTGTAGCAGCCATGGGGAGGTGCTTTTCACCTGGCCCCAAGCTGCTGGGATGAGAGAGGGCTGGGGTTGACCTCTCTCCCCAGGGTGGCCTGTGTCCAGAACCCCTCCTCCCCATCCCCACCCCAGAGCAATGGTTCAAATGTTGAGAACCCAAAATGGTTTGAGTCAAGGACCCGAGTAACGCCGGGTAAATCGAGTGTTAAACAGAGAAGCTTTCTGAAGAATTCCAGCCTCAGATAAAAGTGTCCCATGAGCATGGAGAGGGGACCAGCCCCCCATGAGCAGCTGTCAGTGATGCTGCACTCACCTGAAGTACTGGTCTAGTGTGCCCAGCGCAGCCTCGCTCCGTGGCCATATTTCATTTACTAGCGGCAATGAGTCACGCCAAGCCGGGCATGTCAGGCAATTATTGCTCTCCTCAGGTGGTTGTGCCTCTCAGCCAGGGCCTCGTGCGCTATCCCATCGCCCCCGGCATGCAATTTTCAGCAGACAGACCGTGCTCACCATGACACAGTGCGCTTCTTATCCTGACTGACCCAAGAGCGAGGGCAGGAAAGGACAGCAAGGACTCCAGGAGGCGTGTTAGGGGAAAAAAACACTGTCCAGAAGCCCGGCTGTTACAGTGAGTTCTGTGAGATCAGCACGTGGAATGGTCCTTCCCATGGGAAGCAGAAGGAACCTGGCCACGTGCAGTCATTTGAAGTTAGACAGGCCAAAGCTCTCAGCAAGCATCGTGCCAGGCAGCCAGCAGGTGCATGAGAGATGGACCAGAAAGGTCTTCGCCATCACTAACTCCTCTGAGCAATGCCCACTCTGTTTGATCTCCCCCCTCCAGCTGGCCCCAGCATGCACACGCTGCATGGATTTGTCCTTAGCACTTCGTTCCCTACCAAGAGCTTCCTCTTATTCCCTGTGGTGTCCTGCAGGCGGGAGCCTCAGCGCTGTGTTCCTGAGACCTCCCTGTAGCTCTGCACCAGCTGAACTGTCTGAGTGGGGAATGCACTCGTGTTTCATGGGCTCCAGGGTGTTGGACAGAACGGCAGGCAGAGAGAGAAAGAGGTGGGGAGACCATGGGAGACATTAGAACTGGTTTCTTACGTGGGATCAATCAAAGACGGATAGGGGAGGGGTGGGGCACTCTCCCATCTCTCAATTCAGGATTATTTGTATTAAAGTAGCCCCTTGGAAACTCCAGCCAAGATCATAAAAACGGCCCTACTTAGGTCAGACCAACGGTCCATCTAGCCCAGTATCCTGTCTGCCGACAGCGGACAATGCCAGGTACCCAGAGGGAGGGCACACAGCAGGTAATCCTCATATGATCCCTCCCCTGTCACCCATTTCCAGACAAACAGAGGCCAGGGACACCATTCCGACCCATCCTGGCTAATCGCCATTGAGGGACCTAACCTCCATGGATGCATCTAGCTCTTTTTTAAATCCTGTTAAAGTCTTAGCCTTCACCACATCCTCTGGCAAGGAGTTCCCGACGTCCCCACTGTGCTAGACATGGGGATCTTCATGGACCAGACAGATCCACATTGGAGAACAGAAGAGATCTGGGAGAAATCCTTACTGTGTGGGTAGCGAACTGAGGCAGACCCGGGTTAAATGACTTGCTCAAGGTCACTCTGAGAGTCTG